AGTTTTGGTAACCATATCAACAAATATAGAAATCTTCTTTCTTTCATAGTAGATAGGACAACCTAGATACCTCATGGGAAGTTTATCAAATCTCATACCAAGAATCCTTTCCACCTTCCGATATTGCTCTAAGGGGTATTCTAAGTCATAGAGTAACAACTTTTGTTCTTGTTCATCAATTGGCCAGAAACAAATTCATACGTATTGAGAGTATTAAGAATAAGCTGGAGGGAGTACTTTTCTCCACTAGTAAAGAGGATAGTATCATCAGCAAAGGCCAGATGGTTGACTTGAGGGCCTTGTCTCTTCATGTAGAAACCATGAAATCTCCTATTGTTCTGAAGTGCATGAGAAAGCAATTCAGCACTGAGGGCAAAAATGGAGGGAGAAAGAGGGTCACCTTGTCTAAGTCCTCTACTGGATTTAAAGAAGCCATGCCTACTACCATTGACAATCAGAGAGTACCAATTATTAGAAATGAATCTGTAGATAAGATTAATCCATTCCTCAGCAAAACCCATATGTCTTAACATGAAGCATAGATATGGCCAGGAAACTCTATCATATGCTTTAGCCATGTCAAGTTTAATAACAACATTGCCACCTCTCATAGGCTTCTTAATATCATAAATAATTTCCTGAGCCAGTAGAATATTTTCAGTGATGGCTCCACCTTTCACAAAGCCACTTTGGTTATTAGAGATGCTTTTAGGCAAGAGGGAACTAAGTCTAGCATTGATTACCTTGGCAATGATTTTTCTAGTAACATTGCATATACTAATTGGTCTAATATCTAAGAAGTTTTAGGGAGAATCAATTTTTGGAAGCTTCACCAGGCAAGTATGAGAGAAGAATCTAGGTAAGACAACCCCATGGAAGAAAGCTACAACGGCTCTATGAACATCATTTCCAACCACAGACCAAGCAGTTTGATAGAATCTTCCACGAAGGCCATCAGGACCAGGTGCACTGTCAGGATCAATAGAGAAGACACTGTCTTTAACTTCTTGAGTAGAGGGAGTTGTCGAGTAGAGGGAGTGGACAACAAGAAGTTGTTATCATTTTAATGACCTTTTGAATAATTTTCCTCAACCCCGCTTCTGGATTCATGCAAATTGATTGCCTCGAATCCAGGGCCTTGGGAGCAACACTTAATTATGTATTCCCTCTGTCTCAATTTATCTGATACTCTTTGCTCTTTAGTCGATTTCATAAAAATGACACATTTCAAAGTTTTGGAATTCTTTAACTTGAAAGCTCCTTTTTAACCTTAATGACATGCTTTTTTAGCCATAAAAATGTCAGGCATGTTTAAAACCACATGTTCTAAGGGTACTTTTGGTATGTGCCACGAGTCAGTCTTTCTTCAACGCGGTTATATAAAATGAATGGAGTGAGTATTTATAAGTATTGGAATTGACAATAACTCATTGTTCATATTGATTAGGTTTGGGATGTCCTCTCAAACCAAGAAGCAGCGGAGATAGTTTCTTCAATACCACAAAGGGAAGAAGCAGCTAAGAGGTTAGTGGAAAGTGCAATTTGTGCATGGAAATGCAAAAGATGTTGGAAAAATTATTGGATGATTATGGAGAATAAAAGGTTTAGCTTGAGGCGTGTCAAGGATACAGTCTTTAAGGATATTTCGCTCACACCGGGATAAATAAATTAGGCGTATTCCTCAGAATTCAACAAGCTTTTCTAGTATAAATTAGGAGCAAAAACAACAAAAATTAACAAAAACAACCCACCACAATAGTAGAAAGTTTTTACTTTGTTCACTTTTTAAAATGAATACAAACATATACTTATATATATTCCAAATTGGACATCTGATTTTCAAGAATGTAACGTAGCATATTAAAGTAATGTTATCAAAGTTAATAAACATTTCCAATAAGAGACGTTACATAACTTTAAAGCAATAAAGCCAAAAACGTTTCAAATAGCAAATTCATTATCATATAAAAATCAAACTGATTTTAATAGCCATAATGATAATCATTCAAGGTTAGTAAAAATATTATATTCAAATTTATTCAAATTTTCAGTTATAGATATTAAAATATATTCAATTGGTTGGTATAATAAAGATTCATTAAGATAATATTAAAAAAATGGACCAATACATCAATTTGTATATTTCTTTTTGAGATATTAAAATTATTTTTTCTAACAAAAGAAGGGGCATTCCCAAGGATGATATCTCAGCAATTTGCCTCTTCTTTCACATCATTCCTCCTTCTAAACAAGAAGATTGTTTAAAGTTTGAGAAGAAGCTTACATAAACTACTAGCTAACTTGCAGTCAAGGGCGGAGCCAGATCATTAGCTACGGGTTCGGACGAACCCAGTAGCTGGTACTTAAACTCTGTATTTGTGTTAGGAAATCCATTAAATGTAGGTTCAGGTTGACAAATTCAGAATCCATAAACTATAAATTCTGGCTTTGCCTGTTCTTGCAGTTGCTGCTTTTTTCTATTTTTTTCTTGTAATGGTTTGTACATAAGTTCAAACATACATAGGCTCATGTTTGCTATATTTCAATCAGGCAATGAAATAGAGAATGTTGAAAATTAGCTTCAAAAGTTATGTTCCAGTACTTTTGTCAATCAAAATTCAAAGTTAAAGAATATGTTTATTTATGTTTTCCAGCAAAGTAGAACAATATCTTCTCAATAATATGTATGCAAACTTTAAAATGGAAAAGAAAAATGGTGACTAAGATCTTCCCTTCTTTATATATTTCAATCCACCGTCAATGTCCACTTTCTTCTTGCTTATTAACATTTTAGGCAGTTTGAAAAGAACCTTTCTGTCCCTTGTACGATATTTTTCTTTTTTGTTTCTGGTATGGACCTTTAAACTCCCACCACAATAATATCATCACTCATTACTATTATACTAATTGTTGTTGTTCTTAAAGAGGCTGTGAGGACAGGCGGATCCAGGATTTAAATTTTATGGGTTCAATTTTTAACATTTTTAACATTGAACCCATTATATATTTAAAGTTATAGGTTCAAACCTATTATTTTTGTAATTTGAATGAATTTTTACACATAAATTTTTACTCCGCGTCAAAAGTTATGGGTTCAATTGAACCCATAACTCTCACGCTGGATCCGACTCTGGCTGTGAGAAATAATATGTGGCGGAGTTTGGATTTCGAGAGTCAAACTAGTTATTTTTTAACCATAATTTTTTTATATACCTTTGAGATATTTTGAATTGTTAATTATTACTATGACTTATAGTACTTTCATAATTTCTAGATATATAAATTTGTTTGAAAAAACTTAAAGATTCTATGTTTTAATTTACGGTCAAAATTAATAAGTATGATTCTCGAAATTGGAGCGTCGCCACATAAATTGGAACAGAGAGAATAATGGTCTAGTAACCTTAATTTGATTATTAATAAAATAACGTAGATAACCTGCTAGGCTGCTACAATTATAGAATATTTTTTGCTATAGCACGTTAAAATACACTAATGATGTAAACTTTTATTAACACTATCAGTAAATGTAATCAAATTAAGATAATTATAAACAATTGCTTATAATTGTGTGTTATCCATGTAAATGTAATCAAACTAAGATAAGTTATACACTTTCGGAATTTTACTTCTAAATCATTTTGTAAATTATGGTCAATTATTCATTAAGAAAAAAGAAAAAGGAATACACGTAAAGCTGGAAAAAAGTAGAGGAATTAGGGCGGTACAAGGAACAGAGAAGACGAAAATTGTAAAGAGCAAAGCTGATCTGTGATTCTAACAAACTTTATCATTTATAGCTAATCAAAGATGCATCTAAATTGGCAATAAGATTCTTTCCCAGAGGACTCAAGCAAACGATGGAAAAATATCTACCATTGCAAATTCTTGATTTGTACCTAGCAATTAACATTGTAATAAAACTTAATCACACCAATGAATAGAGAAAATGCGTCTCTTATATACAGTTCTATCACTCAATAATGGTTGAGTAATGTATATTATCGCCTTAATTTATCACTTAACCATAATAAATTAGTGATGTTTTGTGTCAATTATAGGCGTGGAATCTCCGTATCTATGCCAATTCTTTTTAACTCCCTGAAACATCATCGATTACTACACCTTCCTCGTGCTTGCTAGGTGAAATCCTTTTTTTAATTGAAATTTGAGTGTAATTTCAAAGAATTTTGAAGAAATTAGCAGTGTGAAAATCAGATTTTATCAACCATTTGTTGGCGAGCATAAGTTTTTGAAGCATCTTTTGAGGTTTGTCTCAATCAGTTTACACAATATGACGATGGATTATGCTTTCAGGAACAAAAATAAGCAACTCAATACAAACAGAAAAGACATTTTTTGGGACTGCTATTATTTTTGGAGGGTTTTCTTTACTTGTAACAAAAGGATTACTCAAGTGTGGATATCCCTCTTTCACCTCTAAAGTTACTTTCATTTGTTGACCATCAAATATTTAACCCGTGCGGTGTCACGTGACACCGCGCTTCGTCGATTTTTTTTAAAAAAAAAAGTATATATATAGATAATATACAAAATAAAAATATTGAGTATAAATATAAAAAAATGGCATTGCTTGTCATTATAGTGTTTTATTCATTTGTTCATTTTCTTTGATTGTTCACACCGCTTACCAAAAATACTGCATACGCCCCAACTCTATGCGATGATATATCTTTCTCACTTTTTAATCCTACTTTCCATGGTCGGCTTTAGATAATCATCCCTGCACTTGGAAAAAAAAATTGGCAATTGTAGATAGCCATCTATTTAGTACTTAAAAGCAAAAAATTCCCTTTGGCTCAAAAATAAGCAAAATTCAAGGTGGGTTTCATTTTTTTTCTTCCTATTAGCTAGATGATATTGACTTGTTAAAGTTCACCAAGAAGCAAAAACTCTCCCTTAAAAAGGAGATTCTTTACCTGTCCCACAACTTCATTGGCTTTTAAATATTCCATGTCCATGTACACAATGATGCCATAAATTGATTCCCTCCATTCTCAAAAATTTAATCTCTCCATACAAGCATCTCTTTTTGTTCCTCTCATTTCTCTCTACCCAAAAATGGCTCAACAGATGGAGGTAAGTTTTGCTCTCTCTTTGAACAAATCAAGAATCACATTCATGTAGTTTACACTCACATCTTTTTATGCAGAAACCTAGGGTCACAGAGATACAGGTGAGAATGGACTGTAATGGATGTGTGCAAAAAATCAAGAAAGCTTTACATGGCATCCATGGTGAGTAAGTGATGCTTGAAGTACTAATTCTTTCTCTTAAGTACTAATTCTTTCTTGATCTCTCCTATAAGATCTTATAATGTTCTATGTATGTTCGGTGTTTCGACAGGTATTTATGATCTTTATATAGATTTTCCTCAGCAAAAGATTACTATAATAGGATCAGCAGATCCTGAAAAAATAGTAAAAGCACTAAGGAAGACAAGAAAGAGTGCTATTGTTTGTTCCCATATAGAACAAGCAGAAACTCCAACAGAGCCAGAGGAACCTGCACCAGCCGAGAGTGAAGCACCGCCCCCTGAGTCTAGCAATCCTCCAACACAAGAAAATCAACCAGCTGAAGAGCCGCCCAAAGAACCGCCAAAAGAACCACCAACACAAGAAAATCAACCAGCAGAGGAGAAACAAACACATGATGAAGGTGCTGACAATACCAACAGCAAACCGGACCAAATCTCCAAATCAAGAGACGTTGAAGAAGTTCATGTAATATACCACTATCCACCAGACTACAGTTACAGACACAACTTTCGCCAGGGTATGAGCAGTCACGAGCCACCTCGGGATCATGGATACAGATACAACTATGGTCAGACCATGATCCATGAGCCACCCCGGGACCCTCGTTACAACAGATACAACTACGGCCCGAGTATGAGCCAAGAGCCAACCAGGGACCATGGTTACAACAGATACAACTATGGCCAGAGCATGAGCTATGAGCCACCTAACTACGGTCGGAGCATGATCCATGAGCCTCCTCCAGGAAATCCTGGCTACAGAAATAATCATGCTCGTCCTATCGGTCCAGAATTCAGACCTGAGGCGCCACCACCAGGTCAACCACCGGTTTATGTGACTCACAGCTACAATAGCTACCAACCATCACCCTATGTGACTGGATATGAGCACATCAGGTCACCACCAAGATACACACAATATACTAGGCCAGAGCATTACTCTGAGGACTATCACTATGGAAACAATGGCAACGGAACAATCAGCTCAGTTTTCAGTGATGAAAATCCAAATGCATGCACAATAGCTTAAGGAGGGTGACCGAAATGGTTTGCAAGGGAAGCAAGTAATTTTATTTTTTGTTTCACCTGTAAGAGAGAAAGATGCCTAACTAAGTCCAGATGATTCGTAAAGTAACTCCTCAACAAACAAAAATAAAGCAAACATGTGCAAATGTTGAGAGAAATGAGATTCTTGACTTCAAAAGCAAAAGGGAATATATCCTCCATTCCACCTCTACGAGGCTAATTCTGACCACCTGGCATTCATTTCCTGAAGAAGAATACTAATAAATCTCCTTTATTCTTGGAATTTATTCCTCAGCTTTACATTTAAAAATTTAGCCATCCTTTAATGCTTGAAAGTTTCATTCTTTTCTGCCAAAATACAGAAAGTTGAACTTGACAATGAGATGGAGAAAGGAATTTGGTAATCTCTTTTGTAATCTGTGCAAGAACAAGTTTTGTAAATTAATTCCATTTGAATGGCTCAACCTATTATCGGCTTTGCAAAATCTGGGATTACATTTCTTGCTGAACTTATATCTTTATGCAAGGAAATGCAGATAGCAATTGCCAGATAACAATTCTCAGAAAAGGATAAGTTGATCATCCAAAACATCTAAAGCTTACCCATGACGATCCAAAATTACAGCCAGACGCAAGGAAAGATGTACTAGAAAACTAGCCAGAAAAGCAGGACTTTTACCATTTACTCACTAATTCTGATAGAAATAAAGTAGCTAGAATTCCTCACAAGATATCTCAAATTAACGAACATTCAAATAACACATAAATGTGACAACTGACAACACCGCTTGCACCAATGATGACCACATAGATTCAATTGCACTGATGAGATTATAGATTCTTCGAACACCGATCAAAATCTTACATGTCAAGATTCAAACATTACACAGCATAATTTGGATAATGACTCATTTTGTTCAATTTCAACTTTAACTTTTACTGAAAAAGGATGAACATTGAATAGCTATTAAATTGTTGTTTCGAGCAAAAGGGAGTTTGTTTCACAGAAATTTTCTCCAACCAAGATCAGAAAGTTACTAACAAATGTATTACTTTTTTTGAACACGGTAACAGTAACAAATGTATTACTATATGAGCCTTTTTTACTTTTCCTTTGGATAACTTTTTGCGCTTTGTCTTTCCTTTTCGTTGATAAGATATCTTTCAACTAGAGCAAACCAAGACTAAGAGATCACAAGCATAAGTAGCCGAGGGCAGTCAATTTCTGGTTTAGATCAACCTGATAATACGTATAACAGGCATTTAAGTGAAGGAGAAGCATGTTCAACCTGTTTGCCACAATGAACTTGACTTCAAAATACCAACAAATGTAATATGCAATTACTGAATGTAGATAAGTCTTGCTATATACAACAACAACAACAACAACAACAACAAACCAGTAAAATTCCACAAGTGGGGTCTGGGGAGGGTAGTGTGTACGCAGACCTTACCCCTACCCCTAACCCGATGGGACAGAGAGGCTAAGTCTTGCTATATGCACATGGAAATAACATTAGTACATTTAAAATGAACAGTAAAAACAGGGAAAACCATACTTCATCATTGCGCTCCATACAGTCAGCAGGAGATAGATTAGTTGTTCCTAACGTCTGCACGTGGACTACAATGGTGTCTTCATCATATCTATCACAGGGTAACAGTGGAATCAGATACACTTCTGATCAAACAAATGATCAGGAAGGAAACTAAAACTTCATGGCAGATACAAGAAAACATCAAGGCCCAAATGAGCATGCAAGGCAATTTTGTCTTTTAATCATTGTTACAGGGAGGGTAACTTTGTGACTGACCAACTTGCAAATTCGGGGGAGCACAAGAAGTTGAATTCATTCTTGACTGAGGATATAAATTTGCCTAGACAAGTTATAGCCACATAGAAGAATGATGAAAATGGATTGCAAAATTTCAAAATTCGTGTGAAGAAAGGGAAATTTTCTTCTGAACCTGGATGAATACTACTTCTGTCAATAGATAGGTTCTAAAATTTAGTTAGATCTTTTTTTGAAAGCTCAAATGCATACATCTACACATAATAAAAGAAGTAACTGTTTGAGGAAAAGTTGTTGCTCGAATAACAAAGATGACAAAAGTTTGTATTTTCTTTATTTTAGGATAGACCAGGCCCCCTTAAATGAAGCTCACCCCAATATCTTTTTCTCCTATGTTCCCTTGTCCTTTGGTTCTCCACCCTACTCTCGTGATGAAAACAACTAAATTCGTTTCCTAAAATGCTCTATCGTTACAATGTACTATTGCTTATCTCAACCTTACTGCCAAACTACATCCAAAGTGAAAGATGATTCAATATATCATTGACCAATTCAATATAACAATGAGAAGAATGAAGATAGTCCTAAAGAAAATATATGGTTAGCTACTAGCAGCAAGGAAAGTACCACAACTAGATACTATACACAAGACCTTAACCGTTGTTCCATAATTCATGTGTTTCCTCCTTTTCCTATTAAGTTTTCACCTAAAGAAGATTATTGAAGAAGCCCACCAGATCAAACAATAGTGTCGTCAACCTCAACCCAACCCATTCTTGAGCAGGGTTGGGTTAAGAATTTTTTAACCCATTTAGAATCAGTCAGCCGGCCCTATAGGCTAGATCGAGGCCGGGCCGAGGTTGGCCCGTGGGCCAAATTTAAGAAGTTACTCAAAGGAAATAGTAAAAAATAAAATTTAACCCTAAATCTAAACGAGTTGCACTGTCGAATTTCCTATATACGTCCATGTTAGTTATATCCTAAATGGGGCTAGCTTGAAAATGAATTTTTTTCCTTTTTGAGAATAAAGGAAAAAGAACACTTTAAAATATTTTTTTCCGGTAGGATTTTAATTTGTTATGCTACTTTCAGCAAAAAAAGAATAATAAAAATGAAAAAAGCTAAAAGGATAACATATCAAATAGAGATGTGTTTGTTGCATTGGAAAAATTAATGATACAAGAACCATTAAACCATGAAGTTGATCCAAACTGAAACACAAAGTCACCTTCATTTGACATACAAAAAGGAGGATAAAACAGAAACTGCACAAGATCAGCAGGATGATTGATGTTAAACATCTTTGTCCAAGATTCTTTAACCCCATACTTCTTCATAATCCACAAATCTACGTGAGTTGTCATTCTCTGATAATAACAAAACAAAGAAAGATCACCTCCCAAAACTCCCAGCGACTGCCTAAAATTAAGTTTTCCTTCTCCACAGCAGGGTTGCTCAACTTTTCCCCATTTCCCATCAGCCAAATCAATAAAAATGATGTCCCTACCATGAGCAGTCTAAGTAATCCAATGAAGCTTGCCATTCACAAACTTACCACACCTAATGGGTAGCACCCGACTCCTAGAAACATGGATACTTGTCCAAGAATCACTCTTTAGACTATAGATATTGACCTCAGTACAATATAAACTATCAACAAACATATTACGAAAAATAGCCACAACCTTATAATCATCATGAAGCTCGTCATATCCAAAACCAAACATTAAATAGTAACCACACATCAATGTAGCTCTAGAATCAGGCAATTTCTTGAATTTCCTAATTGATGGATTCCAGAGAAACAAGTCTTGTTGCCCAATGATAAGACATATCAAACCATTGACAGAACCCACAATCTCAACAGTTTTACGAGGTTTTTTCATAGGATTATCCAAGTCACATACCCTAGTAACAAATTCATAAATTAAAGAACTAAGGTAACATTGCTTCATACTGTACTTAGCTTGATCAGAACTCAACATAAGCCTATGGTGGGTGTATTCCTTGTTATTAGCAAATAGAGAGAGATGGGTGTTGACAAATTCAGGGCTAGAGATTAAATCAAGCCAAGACTTTGAAACACACCTCATTTGCAAGATGCATTTCACTGGTAGCTTTAAGAGTATTTCAGTGATGAGCTCTGGTGGCAAAGTAGGGATTTTAAAGCTTGATTTATCTCCCTCAGATTCCATTGAAATGGAAGAAAATTGAGCAGGATTAGTGTGTTTGCTCCGCTTTGGCCGAAGATGGGAGGCTTCTTCTCCCTCAGATTCCATAAGGACTGCACAATTTGAGCTGTTGGAGCTGTTTTCTGAAAAATTTCCTAATAAGTGACCCACTTTTGCGTACTCAAATAGTT